AAGAATTATGGATGGAACTATGCATTCCGTAAATGAATTTAACGGGCGTCATAACCAGACGATACCATCACTCAATCACAGAGCTGGTAGCGTTGACACGATCGAAACACTTTCGGGTTGTGTGAGGAAACGCACGACGTGAAAGTTCAACAGCCTGAAGAATGTTCTGACGCTGTTCTGAAGATGGAGATTCTCTAGCCATAAATGACGATTGAGTGTGGTGGTGATGTCATCGCATTTCTTCGCAACCTTTGGTGGTTTAGGCTCGATAAAATCTGGATCGTCACTGCCAGAGTACATTTCCATGATAGAGGCTGGCGCAGCGGATGACGATGGAAGAGTAATAGACCGTGCTTGACATGGACATGGACAAGTACAAGCAGACGTTCGTGTTGTAAGGGATTACCGTGTTGAAGGCGATGTTGGTTGGGGTTCTAGGAACTGTTCAATTATTTCCTAGGAGACAATGGCGTGGTGAAATAAAGTAGAAACATAATATATTAAATGTTTAATGGAACCAGATAATCGACATTTAGATATATGGTTATATATTTATGTTCGTTTTCGCCAATATAATCACCTCTTGGCGTTTTCTCTCTTTGTCAGCTTTAGTTGCGGCGATCTGTTTCCTTTCCGCTGTGCGCTCGAATCGTTTTATTCTCTTGACTTCAAGAGAACCAAGAGAATGGGGACGGTTGTCCCGAATGGCAAGAATGTCTTCGATGATGTCCAAAGTACTTCGGCATTGACATCGAAACGAGTTTCAATTCCTTGAGAAAGAGCTCCTTCTTCTCCTCGGCGTTTTTCTGCTTCCGTCGTAGTGATGAATTAGAATCGCTGGGACTATGTAAAAGAACTAAATAGTGGTTTCGTCCTGGGAGGTAATTTTATATATATATATATATATAGATGAGAGAGGAGAGATATAAATATATACATATATATATATATTTATATATATTTATGTTGTCTGTTAGTGTTAGCGTGTTTGTATTATAATACGAGTCTTACGCTTCTAACATAATCAAAAATTATATATTATATGATCAATAAACATGAATAAAGTAAAGGAAGTACGTTATCTCCGTAGAAACGTTTGATGCTGCAGATTCGACTCCTGAAGGTGTAGTTTTAATTTTAGTCAGACTCATTGATAGGATCCTAATGTGTAGTCTAATGTTTTATTGCTTATTATATTATATATATATATATAATTTACATATACATTCTATCGAATCTAATAGGCAAAAAAGGACAACAACATAATACAAAAACAACTTTCAGTAGCTATTCTCCTGGAATCACCAAGAAATGATTAACTCTAAAGCCTTGTTCTTAATGGTAGCCATGTTAGCAACTTTAACACTGTTATATGTATTTTAATAATAAAGGATTTCGTAAGAATAAACAAGAGAAAATATGAAAAACCTCCTATCATTTGGTGCCTATGATGAAGCATACCCTGTCTCCCACCACATCCCACCAACAGGTGTTTTCTCCATCTGGGTTATACACCATACGAACTGAAAGAGTTGAATTGCACAACAGTACGTAGATGCATTCAAGGTCACTCGAGTTGCAAAAATAAAAAGCTGCATTGCCAAGATTTCAAAGATGAATGGATTGGAGAAGGCAATGGAAGTTTTTTAAAGGAACATTCTTTATCAGAATAGCTAACACAAATAAAAAAGAATGACGCGAGAACTTAGGTGATTGCCAAGTTGCAGTGCGGATGCTTAGGTTAGCAGACTGCTGCATAGATAGCAATTTATAGGTGTGCAACATATGCGTTTGTGAAAACTACTTTTTTCACATGTTATTGAAGGATTATGATTATAAATGGCTTATGTGACCCCAAAAAATACTTTGGGGATTTTGTGTTAAAGAAATTATTTGACCAGATATTCAAAAGAGATTTGCTAGCATTGGTAATTAGGTTATTATTATATTTATTTATTCAACAGTTCATGCAAAAGTTTATATACAAAACAATATATAAAAGCGATGCTAATAAGTAAAATACAATATATAAACATTATAGTTCATAATTTTAGCAACATACATGAACAACTAATTAATTTCTCAAAAGTAAAACTTAAACTATTAACACATAAAAACCAAAAACGAAGTGTAAAGGATCATTTAAACTTTTTAAATTTCTTTAAAAGTGAGTTTAAGGCATCTCTAAGATGATGGAACGGGAGGGATATATTTCACCAAATCGCCAGCTAGCGTCCAAGAGTTATCCGTAACCGAAGGGATCCGGAGGTCCAATGCAGCATAACGAGTGGAGGCGGATATGCATATTGCCCTAAGGTCCAGCGGCTGCAGGGGACGATCCAATGTAAGGCTCTTTGCCACTAGGGCTTTGGCGCTAAGTAGAGCGTTGTTAATGACTTTTGTCCTCGCGGAAGCCTTTTGACTTGAAAGGCCAATAATATAGAGGTTTTGCAGTACTTTCCAGCGTTAGCTGCATCCATGCCCCTTACATTTAGTTATATGAATCTAACCAATATGTCTACCGATCGACACTCTGCAAAGGCGTGAATTATAGATTTAAAAATAACACCACAGTCTTTGCAAGGGCGGGAAACTTGAGAAGATTTGCCGAAATCAGTAACTGTGAAGTAAATTTTCTTCCGTCCGTTATACAGCTAATAGAATGCCGGATACGATTACTCCACTCTCTCGGAAGTTCCAGGAGTTTTAAGAATGCATCGCAAATGAGATTGCACTCCGACAATCCCATATGCAGAGGGGGAGTTAATTTTAAAAGCCAGGGCTTTAGCACATTATGAAAATTTGCCGCCCGTAACAAGGGAAACCGAATCTTCCATGATTAAGAGAGTCATGGTGATGTAAGTTGTGGATAGTTAATATACCCTTATTGTTGCGAGTTTCTCAAGATCCTCAGGAGTTCCTAAGTTCTTGAAGAAATACCTTTTTGAAGAATTATATCTTATGATATCAACAATGGAGTCCTTTTCAAATATTGGTGTGTTTTTCCAAATGATTCTTTGGGCACAACCCAAGTAACCGAAAGGCTAGAAGTAATGCCGTTTGTTAGCTCAGAGCCAAACATAAGCCAATGATAAATTTCATTTAACGAAACGCAACGCAACGCCTCCATTCACAAGAGGGATGTTTCGCTAAATTAAGAAAGACGTTAAATAAATCTTGGGAATTATCGTAGCGAGTTAAACTATACCTCCTCCAAGAGACCTCTCTTTCTTTTAATAGTTGGCAAATACATCCTGTGAAATAGGCAGCCAGCCAATTGTTCTCATCTAATATGGCTCTTTCCGCTATCAAAGGCGACGAAGAAGCTTTGTAGAGAACCAACGTAATATTTTTTGGTATATGTCAAACATATACCAACATGTACATTTGACATATACCAAAAATATATTACATATTGATGATAGTCAATAGACTCGAAACAAAAAAAAATATAGCCGCTGAAATAGAACACTAAAAAATGATCAATTTTTTGAAATATGAAGCCTATTTTTTCGATTAGTACGAAAGATATATAATTATAAAAACGGATTTGAATGCACAGATATAGTAGAACAATAAATACTACTGATAATTGTGGTTAGCTTTACTTTGCACGAAGATAACTGAATTAGAAATGATGAAAATCCTGATTTTCAAAAAAAGGCCATAAAGTCCAAACCTTTTTTTGGACGATATTTTGAGTGGCATTTTGGAATCTACGTCAAAATGGGACTCAAATTAGAAATTTCAGCAGCCCAGGGGCAAAGTTCTGTTACATAGTGTTAGGACGATTAATTTGAATAGTACAACATAATTTGTTTGTCTGTAGTCTTCGAACAAATTCGATAAACGAACATGGGAGAACGCTCCATTGTTCACCGTGTCAATACGAACACTTACAATTTGTTCAAATCTCTGCCTTTTTTGCCTGCTAAAACTTCTAATTCTTAGATCATCCGTCATGCAACATTTGACTTGTACTCGCCGACTTCTTTTTATTCCTGTAATTTTATGGGGTCTCCATCCTTGATGCAAAAGTATATGAATTAAGAAATTTAAAGAATTAAAGAAAGTAACAGGAAGTTCCTGGTGAATGGCCTGGTGTAAGTTGTGCCAATGAACAAATGCGTCATGAAACCGAAACATGAATTCAAATAAATGCTCATTTTTTTTCCTATATGGTTCGCTAGAATTGCATCCAACAGGATATAAATAAGCATCATTAAAATTAACATACTTACATCATAATTTGTTTATCAATTTGATTCGGTGGAATGGCATCGGTAAATAACTAAATAAATTTTGGCATTAAAATAAGTACATCGAACCAAGAACTTTTTATATTCAGGAATATCGAAATTAACCTTCCAATCTCAAACCTATGTCTTCAATTTTGAGAATTGCACTTGTGTAACTCAATATTTTGTTTGAAAAAATATCAATAAATTTTGCTGGACTTTTTGTTATAGTTGAAGTTCATAATCGTTAAATTTTTGTTCTTATAGTTATAATGTTTGAGCTATTAGTTGAATTATTTCTTCTTTTTTAAATGTTAAGAATAAAATAGAGAATATTTGAAATTAGAGGTATTACCTCTTTCTCAAAAAGAAGAAAATTATTGGTGCAACTACAAATTGGCAGCAGGGCTGAATATTCTTTTTCCTCTTCTTCTTCAGCTGACTTAATAGGATATGATGCATTTTATTCAATGTCAAGCAGTTGATTCATATATATTGATGATTGACTGATGTGAGATGAAATTTATATCGACATATATTTTATGTAAGTGAAATGCAAGGACAAAAATGCAAGAGCAGTAAATAGTGCAGCACCCAAAAATTGCATATATATTGTAAATAACTCAAAAACATTATAAGAAGGGAATAAGTTATTGAGTAGAATTAATGGTCAATTGCATAGAATTGATCAGTGAATTCAATAAGAATTCACCCTATTTTTAAATAGGTTTAATTAAAAATTAAGCAATAAAACGATGAGAGTCCGATAGCTCAGATTGGTAGAGCATGTTCAACTCTCAATGTTGATGGCGCAGGTTCAAATCCCGAGAGGGGAAGATCAGTTTTGGTCAACCTCATGCATAAGGTTCTAGGTTCGATAGACTAATTTAAATGCGAGTATGCTTATTTTTATCAACACGGATGCAACTCAAAACCAAATACGCAAACTAACAGTATTCCAATTAATAAAATAAAGGTTATATCCTCGTAATTTGAAGAGAATATAAGTTCTTATATATATGCCATTAAAAACTTTTTACAAAGAACAAGATTTTTTTGGCACTCCGCCAACAAGGCGTTGCATCACTTTGCCAACAAAAACGATACTCTTACTTGATAGATATACTTGAAATTGGCTGGTGATATCTAAGTATGTTATGTTTATATATATATATATATATATATATTATTATATATATAATATACTATTATATATATATGTAACTTATCAGCAGGGTTAACAGGGTTTGCATCACATAATCCAGACAAAAACGTGAGAAGATCAAACAAAAGCCTGGTGCTCCCTCTTTTCAAGATATTTTGAATCGTTATATATTAAAATAACAACATATCATATTCAACTCTGCTAAAATAACAACATACAAAATAATACTCATTTTCGGAATAGAAAGTTTTAAAAGTGATGGACAAATTGCTTTCTATTCTCTTCGCTATGCAATATCAGATTCAGGAGCAATTACTCGGCTTAAAGACCAGGTATTAATAAAAGAAAAATGCTGTTGAGTTAGACTGTAAATGAAGTGATGCTTAAAAACACCTCCATTTATCTGATCTAAACTAAGATGCATTTTATCAAAAAGGAATTATTTATATACAAAGATATTTATACATAGTCTCTTGAGAAAAGAGAAAGAAACGTCTGTCGCCCCATCTGGTTTGGTGTTCATTTAAGAAAAGGAGAGAGGCAGATATGAACAGAGAGACGGAGAGAGGGACAAAAATGAGCAGAGAAGAGATAGGGACATAATGAGCAGAGAGAAGGAGATAATCTATTAAACACTTCTATTCGGCTAAAGTTTTTTTTGTCCTTAACCTCTCAGCTTCAACTATTATTATATTATTATGGCAGCCGTGCATAATAAATGATTCATCATCAAAGTTCCATGTAAATATAGAGGAAGAAAAATAAATTCAAGGCATTTTTGGTTGACAGATAGACAAACTTTGTTTATAGGAACATCAATCATAAGGTCCTTAGGGCAATAGCCAACGCCATGCTAACGGAAATACGACGAACTCATGTAATTATGATATAATACGAACATCAATTACACTGGGAAACAGCCCAATTTAGGTCGGACTAATTTTCCTAATTCTTATAGAGTTTTTATCCACTGATTCCGAATATGGTATTCATTTTTCAAAGTTAGTGATAAATTCAGAGCAAAATGGATTTCAATTTTTTTAGCACTTTTTTGATTCAGAGCCATTTTTGACGTACACGGACTCAAGTATAGAAAAAATAAATAGCAATGATTTGATAGAACTTAGATCAAAGTACTCATTTCAATTTTTACTTTTTCTCTGGCACAATTAGACTTTAAAATATATGTCATTTTGTACAAACAATGAATGTTTTACTTAGAGACTCACTGTTTCTCACAAAAATGTTATACATGATTAAACTTCATATGAACATGAAGAAAAAATATCAAGCTTTAATTTGATATGCTTGGTGTTCCATAAAATGCGTTATTTTAATAATAATTCGCAAATGAATATTTTTTTAAATCCTCTCAATTTTGCCCTATTTTAGAGAAATTTATAAGTCACCCAGTGAGATAGAAAGATAAAAACTGACGTCACAACGTAGTAAACAATAAAGAGAAATTTTAACCCTTTTATTGGAATTTGAGTGCTATTTTCCCGGGAATCTTCCGAGGATCCAGGATTCTTAATGACTGCCTGCCGGCTGTGCCGTCGTACACAACATTTGTGACAAAAATTCACCGTGACACAGCCTCGGATCAAGCATGGAGCAAGATTAGAACCATAGAGGACATGACTCCCCATAGGGTGCTCAGCCTTTTCTCTTTGCATCAAAGAGATGATATGTCGGAGCAGACAGACAGACCCTGAAGGACATTATCCCCCCCCCCCCCTTCTCTTCTTAAGGCTGGTTGGCTGGCTTATTACGAAAGACTCTATTGAGCTTCTGAGAGGCAGCTACCTTCTCGGGAGTCACGTAGAGAGTGTGATTTGGGGCTGAGGAGACAAACTTTTCGTATATTTTCCGCTGCTGGCCATAGTCGTCCCCGATTATATGATCTGCTTGGGATTCCCAGACCGTCGAGCTTTGTGAATTTATCATATATGAGGATACCAGGAGGGATAGGACTACAGTGACTCCGCCCTGGACCGCGACGGGTAACTGATAGCAGAGACTCTTTCCGCCTCCGTGGGCATAAGGACAGAGGTGGCATTGTTCAAGAGGGCCGCATTAATGGCTAACAGATGATTGAGGCGAAAGCTGTGGATATCAAAGTGACTCTTGAGCTTCCCAAAGAGATTTTTCTAGAAAAAGTTGTCCCTCTTTGGCATATAATTATCCCTGTTTACAACAGGAGCAGAGAACTTGTATACCACTTTGAAAAACAGAATATAAAGACTTAAAATAACACTACACAGCCACGATTTTGAATAATATTACAACTGAATTAATAATGATGGCCTAACGTGCGCATAAAGGGAGTGCTCGTTTATGATGACATCCTTCAGGTATTTCTAGTATTCCTTGCTACGACTATATTACTGGATACCAAATTTCCATATATCTGATGTAGTGTTCGTGATCCTGATTAGCAGGGTTGAGTAGCAGGTGGCAACTCCAATGAATTTGCCCACTTAGTTGGGCGAATTATTTTGAATTTAATAGTACATTGTCTGTACGTAGTGGCAAAGGATTTCGTTATTTGGTGCATTTTATAGACCGTTTCATCCAAGCATCGTTTTATCTAACTCATTTTACATTTTATCTCGAGAGGCAAACTTCATCTCTCTCAAGTGAAAATAGGACAAAAGAGCAATATATTTATGTTTGGCATTTTTTGGCCCCCATTATATTCTCCTCCTCCGTAATTCTTATGCCACTTTGCAAATTATTTTTACAGCATGATTGTTACTCCCTTATTCTTCGTTTTTCAATGTGCTTTTATTATTGCTCACACCATTGATAATGAGAGAATAAAGATCCCTCAAGGGACTCGTTTTTTTATTACATATAAAAACCCATCTTACAGAGAAAGAAAGCTTTATGGTAACATGTGTCACTTCTGCTAAGACAAGTTTTACTAGGGGAGGGAGTGTGGTGTTTACTCCAAAAGCAAATATCAATGTTAGATAAAAAATAATTAATAGCAGCACCTCGTGAACCAGGAATGATATATAAGACATTGTGTTTCTTACAATTTAAAATCGCATACCAGCTAGGGGGTATTACATTAATCAAATAAATGAATAGCACATAATAAAACATCTTTAGTAGAGATTTCTCTTGATAAACTATATGTTTTATATATATATATATATATATATATATATATATAATCGATTAATATATATATATTATATATATATCATTATCGCAAACTCAATTTCGAAATATTTAAATCTTAAAGAATCCATTAATGACTCCTCAATTAACTCATTATAATTACTAAATTATTTAATTGAATAATGTAACTCCTAACGCTAATAAATAATAATACGTTTTTATTTATTTACTAAATATATATATGCATTATTTTGTATATATATATTGCCTTTTTGGTTTGATAGAATATAAATAGATTTGTGTGACAATAGACTGTTCTATTTATTGGAGTGACCAGTCATCCATTAATTTGATATTTTACCTTGGTTTTGGTACATTTTAAATTAGTTTGTCAAAACTATCTTTTTTTGAGGATAGAAGTTTGGCTTGGAATAAATTATGTTTTAATTTTAAGGATTGAGTTTTTTTTGTACAGAACGGTACTATTATATTTCAATTAACATCCATCATTTAAAGAAATTACAGAATTTTTTAGTCTACATATTAAATATTACATTATAGAATGGGTTCGATGTCGGTGGGAAGTACTGTTTTGTACTGGAAGTAGTTTTTGCTATTCAGCTTGAAACTACAAATATATCAATACTTTGGCATCCTCTAATTTAATAAAATAATAGTTATGGTTAAATCATTAAAATTTATCAGTAAAAACATTTTAACATAGGTTTGAATCTTCGTATATCAGAATCAGAATGATAACTTATTTCACTCATATCTATTTTGTAGTAAACTCAGTAGTTTGGGTCACTGTGGCAAAACTTCCTCGAGTGAACTATTTTCTGCGATATATTCACACTTCCATGAATATGAAAGAAATTGAACTTCTACATAGTTGAGTGACAAGCTTTCCTCATTGAGACTCTTTTTTAGCCGAGAATCCATTTTGCATGTAACAATATATCCGTTTTTATTCATTATTGAGAAAAATTGAAATTTTTTCAACTCCATTACGGATGAGTCGTATGTCAGTGGAAAACGGCCGTGATCACTACCGTCGGTCTATGAACAATAAGATCGGTCATTTTTATTATAAGAAGTAGAGTTAGATATTTTTCTACAAATTCCGGTAAAAACAAATTTGATAAATAGCAACACTCTTGAACAAATGTCGACAAACAAGCTCAGACAACTTATCATCACGCGGATTGAGGCTGGGGATAAAGGATCAGACGTCTCTAGGTTCATGAGAATTGCCACCAGCATTTTGTAAAGGCCTGAGCTGACTAAAAGGTCCGTGAGACCACCAACAACAACCTCAGGACGGAAGGTGGGGGAGGCCAAGGAGGATATCAAAGATGCAGTCTTGGCCAGGATCTCTGAGCATCCGAACGCGTCGCTCAGGTAGCTCTCAAGGGAGTTCAACATTTCACAAGCGACCATGAGGCGGTTGATGAGCAAGGATCTGGGCCTAAAGTCCCTTGCTAAGGTGCAGTTGCAGCAGTTGACACCCTTGCAAAGGACAAGAGGTTGAACATGAGCCTA